TTTTTTTTTTTTTAGAGGCGGCAAAAATTGATTTTGCCTAGCACACTATTTTTGCTTGAGCCGGCCCTGCGTGAAAAGATAACATTAATTTTTGCGCACACGCTTCGGTCGCTTTCGGACGAGCTAGTGGAATTTGCATAATTCGCGCGTTCAACGTTTAAGCGCAGAGATTAGAAAATTCGTATCGAGGATTAAATTGTACATTATCGCGAGACGTATTTTATTAACAACACGATATTTGTCACTCGATCTCCGCGAGTCTGAGCGCGGTGCAAGACTATATATGTTAATATTTAATCGCTCGTGCTCGGTTATTATTATTGTACACGTTCGTATCGTCGGTGTATTGGACGTGCGAGATCGCTGTGCACGTGATTAATGAACGATGTTTCGCGGTATAGTACCTTATCCCCCGTGTAACCGTTTCTTATTTGCTCGGTGGTTTATTAATTATGATGCTGCGGTGACGTCGTTATCGCCATTTTAATTTACTCTAAAAGCATGCTTGGTGTTGGGGCAGGCCGATTTTTATTCATCACCGCGGTTTCATTCGAAAGGAAAAAAAATCGCGTTATAATTTTCGAGTATTGCTGACGATACCGGTATTAAAATCTCACAGTAAAATGGTGTGCGAAATTCGAAATTTGTCTACCGCGAGCGGACCGCCGCTAAAACGGGATAAGACAATTAAGGCGGGTTCGAATGATGGACACTCCTATTGTACATTTTCATCTGATGATATTATTTTTATTTTTTTTTTAACACTCTTTATTTTTCGATTTATCTTTCGTCGTTTACCGAATGAGACGAACGGTTTTTCGGTATTGATTATAGCCCGTTTAATTTCGCGTTTTACGGAAAAATATGGAATGTCGTATCGACGACGTGCTTCGTCTTTTTCTAAATCATATCGCGTTTTAATCAGATCGACTTTTATAATTTTATATTTTATGATCACTGAATAAAGAAAGTGCGTTTTCTACTTATATACTTACCTATATATATATGCATAAATAACAAATTCCATGTATTGTATGAGTTTTTTTTTCGTGTATCAAAATAGAATAAACCGGGAGCATCGAGTTAATAAATACTCGTATATTATCGTTAACCAGTGCACCAGCTAACAGCTCAACGTTTTATAAGTCAAATCTCAAAACGTAATTAATCGCGGACGGTATCCCTTCGAATACAGTTAGATTAACTGTTTAGTGTTTGTGTTCTTAGCTGCAAGTATACCGGGACGTCGGGTATTGATTTTAAAATGAAAGCAAACGTTCCGAACCTGATAAGTACTTGTATATAAATTCAAGCGGTACCATTATGTTGCATATTACATGATGATATCGTGCCTCCCGTCCAGATATTTATAAGGTATAATAATAAGATAGTAAAATTATTTTAAATACGAAATGTTTTTCAATTACACTAGGATTGATCTCCGTGAGGTATACCCCACCAAGTTGAGCTATTCACTCAAAACCGACGGCAATGTCTTTAAAAAAAATTCGATCGGTCAGCAAAACGTTGGCGTCGGATCCGAATGAATCGGTCCACGGGCTTACCGCGCGCCTAGTGATATTTTCGAAATCCGTCACTGTTGACTGGTATTCGCCTCCTCGTGTTCCCGTCGGCCCGTCGGAAGATCGCTCCCCCGTCCACCCTTGACTCACGCGTTCCCGGGGAGGCCCACGCTTGCAACACGCCTGTGGTTTCGCCGCACCATTCACTCGGGTTTAATTTACGAACGAAGGCGTTTGCAGAAACGGCAACAATCCCTTACGGTACAGTATCGGACGGTGGGGTCGTCGCAGTCGCGTTACGACGGAAACAATTATCGCGCGCATTCCGCGTTTTATTGCGTCTAGACTGGACGAGCGTTGTGCACCACTGGAGTCCCGGCAGGCTCCCGACGTACGAAACGAAAACAACACTAATAATAGTTATAATAATAATAATAACAGAAAAGTCGTAGCGGTTTATTTCGTGCTGCAAGCGGCTCGTGCGTTTTGTTCCGCGTTGTACGCGGATGGGTCGTCGTCGCGTAGACGTGTCACGACCATAAAACGTTCGTCGCGTGCGCTCGGCGACGTTAATGTAATGTACGCACTATTTTAAACTACTTTATTACGGTTTTATTTTTGTAATATCGCTTCCCCCACGTTTGCTCGGTGTTGAGAGATCATTAAGATCATTTTTCTTCTATCCGAACACGACCACGAGTCGTAGCATATAAAAATATAAGAACAAAAAAAAAAAAAAAAAATCACCAATAAAGAGGAGTACAAAATGTTAACACGTCCCCGTATTAATAAACTAGTATAGAAACAAAATATTATGCTGTACGGTACACATTTCTTCATCTATGATGTTGAGAATTATTATAATATTACTGTATACCTACTTTAAGAGTATATGTAAGTGGTTCGATGCTTTTTAGATTCATGTATAATACAGACTTTTTTTTTTTCACAAAATCAACAGATAAACAGGAGTTTTCACCCACAGTTGATGAATTTTATTTGAATTATTTAACTAATTTTATTTTTATACTTAAATAAAAAACAGTTTTAAATAATAACGAAAAAAAATATGCATGGGGTTAATTGATATTACAAGCTATTAATAAACGTATATAAAGTACAATAATATCTATAATCGTATGTTTTATTTACATCTACATCATGTGATCATAATATAATTACTAAATTAAGTGTGAGGACTAAATATCGTTTTCTCCGGAGTAGAAATTGTTTTTTTTTCGATCAGAAATAAGCCCCTGCGGAAAAAAAATAACTGAAAACCGAAAGCCTTGTAATCCAGTAATATATTCAAGGCATTCATTAGGTAAAAACTATAGAGTAGTTCAAACTGTATAAGTATATTGAGTTTAAATTGTAATTATATTAGATAGATAACTTTTTTTATGCCTATGGTATAATTATATTTTTTTTATGTACTCAAATTAATTAAATAAATAATGTGTATTTAGCTGCAACAGGATGAGTTAAAGTGCGGAAGGTAATAAATAATAATATTACTTACATTACTTATACAACAACTTAATACAATTATTTGTATAGGATCGAGATTCATGAGATGAATTGACAAATTTCAACTTAAAATCATACATTGTTTTTATTCTAATCGTCATTGTGAAAACAAATTTTGAAGAATCATCGTACACTTTTCTTCTTCTCGTCGTTGGACAATAGATAAAAATTTAGATTATTGTATTAGTATTATTGTACGTGCATCAAGGTCGAATCTGAAGTTTGTTGGAGGGGAGATGGGTGAATAGGAATATTTCAGAGTGATATTTATAGTACAATGAACACTTGACCATAATTTGAGTAATCATGAAAAAATAAGTACAGCGCCATAATTGTAGAATATTTATGTGTATGATAACCTATTGATAACATAAATTTATGTTTGATTCTTAGATTGTGTAGATGATCTAAAATAAATATTTATTATTTATATCTATATCACTGTATACCTATATCAAAAATATTAGATAAATCTTTCATAAAAAAAAACCTAAAGGGGGCGATAGCAACGTCTACCCTCGTTCATTGATGTTTATATTGTTTACGAACTGTCCGAACGAATATTATAACGTGTATTTTAAGTGTTGCTATGTATAATATTATTGTTGTTTTATTACTTTTATTATATAGTAATATCAATTGTCATATCACAGGGTGGAATCGTTGTTCGGTCAATAAATAATTAATTTAAATATTGAAAACTTTTTTCGTACACCACTCATTGGTCGAATACAGTGAACAAAACAGAGTGAATAGACTTTATCGACACAAGTTTTTGTTTATTACTAACCGCTTTATAAAAAAATATTAAGCCGCTGTAAGTAAAAATTAAGTAGTGAATACTCTAACACAAACTGAATTGCGTAAAATGTTAATTTTGAAGTAGCATTAACTGTTTTGTTTTTCATATATATATATTTACATTGATTAAGTGAAGCAAAAATGTTTTTATTTTAATGAAAATTAAAAAATAGATTTTAATCCAACTCGAGAGTGCGGAAAAAAACGTTTTTGGTGATTGATCATGTTGTGCGGCAAACATAGATGCATTTCTTTTTTTTTTTTTTTGAAATGTATGTACCGCACGGACTGAAACGAATCTAAACGAGAAAGAAAAAAATGCATTTTATTTTACTACCCTGGGTCTAGGTTGTTCATCTCCGACACCGACTTCGAACTTAAAGATTTCTTGTCAGTCGTGTCTTAATCTATAAGACTCAAATAACTTTTGGTCGCTCTCTAATCCAAATGCACTTTTCGTCTTTGATCGAACTCCGGAATCACAACTGATTAAGGCGATTCGAAATCATAAGATAATAGGCTCTTATCTGTTTCGCGACGCGAAATTCGTCGTTTAATCCATATTCGATCTAGCGGTACGGTTGAATCGTTTTGAAAAAAATCGGTAACAATCCTTCGTGCGGCGTATCTTTTCACCGACGGCTGGAGACGTCCCGGCAACGTGCGCACAGGTACCCTTAGCCGTACCCTGATTCGGTCCGAGGTTGATCGGTGTAAATATTGTTGGAGCGTTCCCGCGGAAAAAGCGGTCCGACAACGCATTATCGTCCGGTACGTCATGTACCGACCGCGGTAATCGGTATTCGGTTGATTGCAACGCGCGCGCTTAATAGACTGTGCACACAAAACCGTCGCCGCCGCCGTCGTTCGTATCACAGGGATACGAGGGGGGGGGAAGTGGGCAGACGTGCGAACGGGTGGGCAAAGTCGAACGAGTGTGTGGCGCGCGGTACGCGTGTGTGCATGCGTGCGGTGCGTGGGCGGACGAAACGAGCGGTGCTCGTCGAGGGGGTGGGTTCGGTAGGGGTAAAGCGCGGCGGGTCGGTGGGCGGCCGTGAGGAACGGTCGGCGGTAGAGGGGGGTGAGACTGACACCGCGACAGCTGCGCGCGCGAACACGTCTCGGCGGCGGCATTGTCCGTTTTGGCGGGATTCGACGAGCTTGTTGCTTGCGGTCCGCGCGGCCCTCGTCGTCGTCGTCGTCGTCGCGGTCGTCTCCACCGACGTCGTGTCAGTGCGATTCCGTTTCGCCGGTCGTCGGCAGTGGTGCGCGCGCGATATCTCCGTCGCGAGGACAACACAACCGGCGACGCGGTAACGGCGGCAACGATGATCGTAGCGCTATGACCGTTCCGCCGCCGGTGGTCGGTTACCGGTTCCGCGGGAAATCAAAAGCCGCAGCGCCGGTGCTACGGCGCCGTGCCGTGGCCGCGTCCGGAGCGCGCCGTCGTCCCGTAGTGACGTGTCCCGAACGCTGCGACTGTTGTTGCCGCCGCCGCCGCCGCCGGGCGCACCGGACCGGGTAGCAGTGGCGACGCGAGTACCGGACGACTGATAACGGGCGGGAAGCGGAAGAGAAAACGCAGAAAACAGCACACCGGTTATAGTGGCGTCGGAGCGGGTGCCGCATGGCTGCGGTGGCCGGTCTGTACGGTTTCGGCGACGATTCCAGAACGGTGGCCGCTCGGTTCGTCGAGAGACAGCGGCTGGCCAACAGGGATTCGCCCACGGACACGTACGTCTATCATCATCATCATCGTCATGTCCGCAATCATCATAGCCCAATATTGTTATCCGTCACTTCCCTACAACTCCCACCCCATTCACCTTTTAACCGTTTATCGTTATCAAACGCAACCCCGTAATGTTATTATGTATCACATGAAACGAGTATTGGTTCACAAAATAATTGTTTTAATAACACAGTCGCGTCCTGTTCGCGTGGTGTACATAATTACTATCGTTATTATGCAAATGCGCGTTTTCGACCCGACCTGTCGACGTGACGCGACCGTCGGCTATAGTGAAGACGATTCGTGCGTCCGTTTTCGGCTCCACAAATCATTATAAATTACGTTCATATTTCCCCAATCGATTTTCAGTATATTTTTTTTACCGCCCCCGAGTTTGTTGTTGTATTACTGCCGGCGACTCTTCGCCCAGGTAACGAGAAATAATGCATTTCGCTGTTTTTACGTTACGGTTAATTCGTTTTCTATACAATAGTAATAACAATAATAATATACACCTGTAAAAATGTCCTGCTGCGCGTTAAACCCACCCGTTCCCTTCCTTCCCGTCTAGCCATCACTATTCTTCTAACCATATTTCTCCCCACCGCTAAGCTAGGTCGGGAACGACGCTAAAAACACCCGTAGACCTGCTGCTGGAGCCTAACTGCACCGTCGACCGCGAAATTTCAACCCCGCGATGTGAACGCACGTTTGTTTTCCGTTCAGGCATACTGCGCCGCGCTTAATATTCCCTTCCAGCCGACGATCGCAGCACTCGACGTCCGCATTTACTGTGCGTGAAATGATAAAATTCCTCATTTTGCGAATACGTTATGAACTTTTTCTGTCTTCGTCCGTCTCTTTCACTCTCTCTCTCTCTCTTTCTCTCTCTCTCTCTCTCTCTCTCTCTCTATCCGTTTATTCACATGGTGTAATGACATACACTGCGCTTACACGTAACATCGCGTTTGTACAATATATGAGTGAACATCTAGCTTGTGTTTACATTTAAATATACACGTACAATGTTTTATAAAAATCAAATATGTATATAAATATATTCTACATATATATTTGACCGTGCGCGCGACGCAGTCATTTTTAATATATTTAAGTATCGAATACGCAGTGCACGGCACACGCCATTTAACGCCACTACCGCCGCATGTTCGAAACCGTGTTCTAAGATTTTAACCGGAGGGAAATCGTATAACCGTCGGATCCTCCTCCATTTCGGTCCACGCGTGCGGGGCGACGACGAGCGCGTAAAAGTTTATGCCTCGCGACGTATGTACTGAAATCCGTTGGCACATGAACACACACACACACACATACACATTCATACACACGAGTTCGTAGTGTGCCGTTGTCGTATACGTTTGATGTAGGTGTACGACATCATAAATGGGCTATTTATAACCCCTGTTGCCGGACAAATTGATACATGCGGTGATGGATCCGTGCCAATCGGTTTTTTTTTTTTTTTATCCTCGAGGAAGTAGATCCATAGGTCCCCGTAGTGTCCACCGACTGGCTTTCAGCCCTTTTGTACTACTGGATAATCCGTCGGCATGCTTTCCGTCCGATCCTTTCCACCTCTCATCACCTTCCTTTTCCCTGGTTTCCAACCAACGCATAATATACAGTTCTCGCGTCTTAAATCACTCTCGCAGTCGCGTAGTCCTTCGGACTGTACACGCGTGGCGTGGCGGCAAAATTCGTGTCAATATGCGTACGTAATAAACTATTACATGTTACGATTATAGTAATAAAAATAATACAATTTTTTTTTCATCCTTATTTCGACTTTTCTGCATCGTGACTTTCGACAGTATTCTTTTGTCTGCAACTAACCGATCATTTTCGCTAGTGCGCGCGTGTCACACACACGTTTCCACCGGATCGCAGACCACTGCTCCAGCCGTCGCCACCGCCAGTATTCGACCACGAACGTGCGCGGTAACAAATTTACGTTATTAACGAAGGAGGTCCGTTTTTAGGGTTAATCTACCGGATAAATCAGTCTTCAGACAGCGATAAAAGATGAAAAGAAGAGACGATACTTTATCAACTGCGCGTTTATATACTCATACCAGTTCTATACTGATACTACCATTATGGGATATAATCTTTTTTTTGCTTCAAACAATAGGTAGTAAGGTGCCCCAATGGTGTAAGGTATAAATTGTGTGTTTGTATATGTATATATGTATACATATAGTATATTATACTCAATTCTCTAAGGGTGAAATCATATTTCGGTCCATTAATTTTCGCTGGTATATTGATTTTAAATTCAAAACATATAAAACAAAAATTATCTCAAATAAAAATCATTTTATTTTTTTTACTCGGTTGTAACCTATACTATGTTGTACGAATTTGTTATAGATGTTGCCTATATATTATCTGCCATAACAATAAAAAACATTGATAAAAAGCTGTTACCGTATGCACACGTGAGATCCGAGGAGAAATTGATTTTTCACGTAATTCGAAACGAATTCCAACAACGTTCAGTCACACTTGTAGCACTTTTCATATTTTATTTCAATGTCCCGTATACGTGTATATACTCGAATGTACACGTACGAGCATAATGTGTGCCCGTGTACACGTCTATACATACATGTTATTCTCAAACAATGCGCTGAACTATTCCGATGAGTGATGACAGCTTTTTGTTGAACGCGTAATATTTGATCTGACTTTGAACGCACCGTTTGCGTAATACCTTCCGCGTTGTACGAGTATATTTTTATTATAACCTAACCCGTTTCGAAAATCGAAGCGTTTGATGAATGACGATGTTGTGGTGCGTTACGTATACCTGACAGCGCCCGTTCTTTTACGACGAAAATGCGAATTATTTTCTCGCGCGTACACCGCCGCCATTCCGCTAGTCAGTCGGTTGTATGTACATATATTTATTTTTTTTTTTTTTACGACCACTCAGGTTAAAGTGATTTGGGTCGACGCCAACGATCTTAAGGTCTGCGATTATGTGACCAACGTAATTTCGAACAATCTCGGCGAGGGTAACAATATTATTTTAATTTTATTTTTTTATCCTTTTAATGTCTCAACATAATAATTACATTTGTACATTCGAAAACCCAGATTGGTGTACCGTTAAAGGATACGGTGCGTGCGCATACAACGAATACAATACGTCTATAAAGCGTTCGGAAAAGGCGACTCTGTGCAAAGTTTTCGGTAACCTATTGCTGTCAAGGAACTTTTCGCTGCTATTGCGACACCACATCGTTAACCGAACAATACACTTAACGTCGGATAATATTTTTCATTCATAATCTAATTTATTGGTGGCCGGGCGTACATGTATGTCGCACATTAGATTGATGTGAATTCGTACTGCACGTATATATTGTTATTGTATAATATATTTGTCATAGTATCTGCAATGCACATTCTGCATGTACTTCGGTTGTTTCCGAACAACGGTTGACCACCGATCTATACTGACGTTATTGTCGGCTTCGCAACGCGTCTACCGTAACAACGCGCGTTGTTCCTGATGATCACCACGAGTATTATTTCTATACGCGATGTGCGGCGGTCGTTGGGACGTGAAATACGTATCCGTCCGGTTCTGACCGGTGCACGGGCGTATTGTAATATTTGCTCACACTTCACTTGTTTTCTGTTATAATAGGTTTCACCTCAAAGGTCGTTTTAAATACTTAATCATGGCACTTCCGCAAACACTTTATTTCGCACAACAATCACACGTGCGCGCAGCTACCCTTACTGTTTCCGAATTAATTCTAATAAAACGAGCAAATACCCGCGCGTAGTAATGTTCAAATAACCCGAGTTAAAATTATTCGCGAAATTCTTATTTCAACGATGAATATTTTTTGATTATAAACTGCATTATAAATATGCACGCCAATATAATTAACGATGAATATGAAAATTAAAATTCCCTAGTACTTTTCTCGTAAAGTGTAAAATAAGCACAAGTACTTTCAGTGATAACGAGAAATTTAATTATAATATAAATTATTCGTTAAATTAATTTTACTTATTTTTTTTTTTACCAATGGCAAGAGAGGTATTATTCTACATATTATCCAATAGAAACCCATTCAAAATATTATCATGATTATAACTAAGCCGATACATTGATATCTAAGCGCAGATTTTGATTTTATAAACATTATTTAATTATTAAAAATATTATATTCAATATCCTATCAACAGTTGTTTGCTTGGACTTGAATTGATTCTGAATGTTTGTTTGCATAAAAGTATTTTACAGTATTATTACTGTATTATTATTTATTACATTAAAAAAAATGTAAGTCAGTATTTTATTACCGAACCTAAGTTTGTCAATAGTTCCTTCTTTAAAATTAGCTGTATAACAAACGCAATGCTATAAATAATTGAATATTCCGTTTATACAAATTTTTATCTTATAATAGTTTTCTCGTGTATTGTAAAATCCAATTAAGAATTTTAAATTAAATAACAAAATTTATACTTATGTTTTGTACTCCTGAATTGTATATACTATTAACATCATATTCTAGATACATGCCACACTACATTATTACTTTTTTGTACTACATAAAGTGTTTCATAGTACTCTCGATTTTAAGTTCATATTTAGACGTTATGTAGTTCTTTAAATAATTAATATTTCTAACAATAAAATTTTAATGCACAACTTCAAAAATCTTTTGAAATCATCGTTAAATGTTTATCTATTCGTATTATTACTCCTGATTATTATTGCGTTACATACAATTTATAAGTAATTATGTATATTATATAGGTACACGAAATCATTTAAAAGACTTTTAGTATTTTAAAGTTAAATGTTGACAGTTTCGTTTCAATAAGTTTACTAAATTATGTTATGTCTGACGTTATACATCATTTTAATTTGATGATTTTTATGCTTTACGCATGATATAAAAAAATAAAGGAAGACTTATGGCTTTGAACAATGATATATATTTCTGTACACTCA